TATATATATATATATCATCATATTTTATTTTTTTATTAATGAACTAAAATTTATATTTTGATTAAAGATGTCTTGTAAAAATTGCTTAAAAATTAAAAAGGTTCAAAGTATCATTTAGCGAAATCTTCAGGGCTTTGTTACAAGATTATGGACTGAAATCAGTTAATATATACAGTGCACCCAATAGCGAATAATAACGCAAGCGCTATGCAGATTCCTTCGTTAAATCTGACCTATTACGTCTCAAATTACCTGATATCTCTTAGGACTTATTATGTTTTAAACCCCTAAATATCTTTTAAATTTTACTCAAAAGTTCTGTGTGCTTGAAAATTCTCTACAGCAAGTGCTGCAAGCAAAAACTTTCCTTTAAATAAAGACCAATAAGAGTCACCGTGGTGTAATGGAATTCATGTAAAAGACAGGTACACTTAGGCATTTATGGATCGTGATGAACTATAATATCGTAGAAAATTGCTACAACCTTAATATGGGGCTAAGCAGAACTATATTGTCATGCGGTGTACCATTCTTCCCTTCAGAGATACGAAATAGCTTAAACCAAAATATGGTTCAAATAATTCGTCCGTACGATTGCATCAATTTAATAATGTTGTAGTAAATTATCGACCCTGCCATTTTTTATCTACCAAAAGGTACCTCATAATGGAATCAAGTTAGCATGTCTTATATACCAGTGAATTGATGTTTAATATTCGTAGTGGTAGTTACGCCACAATACTTCCCCACCAGAATTTTATCAAGGATAGAATCGATGAACGGATATCACTAGTTGCTGTACTTGTGATAGACCGGGAAAGCTCGAATTAAGGTCACCGGGTTTTTGAGTGTTGAAATGTGACAGTCGTAGTCACTCCTGTGTTGCCATTATCAATCGAGTGTATGCAGGCAGACGTTTTGTTTAATGGAGACGAGACTGAGTAGCAACAACGTGAGGAGGATTGGATAATGCCGCAGTCACAAGTAACAAGTCAACTGCTCAATGTGGACCATCCGTTGAAGTGGGCGTTACCAGATCGAAGTAGGCGTTACTGTCAAGATAGGCTTGATCATATCACGTCCGGAGGTCACCAATGTGGGGGGCGGAGTTATCGACCATGCCAACCTTCATGGATCAAAAGGTATATCGTGATTGAATCAAGTTAGCATGAATCAAGAATATACCAGTGAATTGATGTTTAATTTTCGTAGTGGTAGTTACGCCACAAAGTCAATAATTATGTATGTCAGTAATTATGTACGTTTAATTGTTTTTTGGGAATTCATTTAATGAAAAAAAAGGTTTTTTTCTTCTTCATAAAATGAACATTTGTATGGTTTTGAGTAAATATTTGCAACGTTACTTCGAAAACTATGAGATTAAGACTAGAATTTCACTTTTACTTTCTAAGTATATATATATATTTTTTGGCACATTTTAAAAAAAGAAAATCATCCAAAGATTTGTTTTTTCAGCAAAGGTTTTTGTAGAAATCCAGTATCCCTTAAGCTAGTGAATTTTCATTTATCCTCATGTGCTTTTAAATCTTAAAAACGAAATTTTTATTGAAAAAAAAATCGTTTTTTTTTGTGTTTTTTATTATTCAGTGCAACTGTGCATTTTGTTTTTCCTATATTCCTCCGAATTCATACAAATTCATTTCAGAATTAACTTTCTCCTTTTTTTTCTTCTTCCTTTTCTTAACAGGTTTCTCTTTTTTTCTTCCAAGAGAGCTACGGAAGTAAGAGAGAAGAGAAAAATAGCGTCCCAAGTGCCGAAATCGAAAGGAGAAGAGAGAATGAGTGAAAAAAAGAAAGAATTTCGTTTCGGTTTCTTCGATGCTAGAGAAAGGAAGAATATGGTGCAGTGTTGATATTTGTTTTCTCCCGGGGATGTTTGAATGTTTATCTGGAAGGCAGTAGAGAATATCTCGTATACGTGTGGCAGTTTAATTTGACACGGGGACATTTCTTATCGAAGAAAGATATAACAAAACTTTATTTATCGAAAGGAAATAAAGCTCTTACAATATGGCTATTCAGTACGTTTAGACACATAAAGCGGAAGAATATATATGCCTTATGTATATTAAAATTCATCGCGAATCTCGCTTTGGTTATTTCACACATATACCTGAAAATGTTTTTTAAAGCTACGACGTTCGTCTTGAAAAATGTATAAACGGGCTTGAAATTGAATAAAATACCATAGTTATTTTACGTAAATGTGAGCATTGTTTAATTCTTAAATATATTAATTAATCACAGTAGTGTCGAGGAAATAACAATAACATTTGCATAAATATTTTCTGCTGGTAATATATATCTTTAACAGTATTCCGAAAACATTAGCATTTGTTCTAAATCGCTTAAGTGGCCGAAAGAAAAAGAGGAAAAATAAATTAATTTATCTGGGAAAAATTGTATCACGATTAAGAAGTATTTTTTAATAAGACAAAATAAATTTTCTTTTAAAAGTA